TAGTCCGTTGTGCTACCTAAAAAATCCTATATAATAAGTCCTAAGACCATTTAAAAGCGACAAAGCACTTTCAGTCGCTCACAAATTTGTTGAGACGGCTAATGTTATTTTCGGCTATATCTCCTGGTTCAACGGAGGACTGCCGATATGTTACAATATTAGAATTGCAAGGGATGTACAGTTTCACTTTTTCCAAACAACTTTGATTATTTGTTTCCGGTTACAGTTTTAGCCTTATTGAACAATGCACAGTAAGAGCTCCTACGATTTCAGAAAGATGAATCTTGCTAAGGGCCAAAAGTTCAACAGACCTGCTATGTTCTACTCTAGATCTACGGAATCTCGCATACGCGGGAGCGACTCGTTGCCGACCAACACTTACTAAACGCACGCGAGGTCGATGGGTCCAGTGTTAGAACTCAAAATGGAAGTACAATACCTTCCTATTCCAATATGAGCCAGTTCTGTTAGGCTCATGGACTTTGCAGTTACCAGCGATTCTGCTAAAACCTGGCATTCAAAAAAGTCGGATAATAAAGTAGCTTGATACTTTTCTAGTTGGAGAGACACTTTTTGAAAACCCTGAAAATAAGGCTCTTAAGAAGTATATATTATAATTGCATAGAAAAATTTATAGTCAGAATTTGTTTGCCTTACACAAGCATATTCCCGAGCATTTCAGCATTTCATTTATTTTGCTTTTAGAATGAAGGTGTAAAATGTGCAAAGCTAGTTAGCTAGTGTCAGATGAACTCAAAGTAAGTCGAAAGAATAGAAAAAATAAAAATTGAAATGAACTGTAAACTGATATTAAATGACATAGTGCATTCAAATATTGGAATTCTTCGAATCTGTCAATATAGTTGACACCAAAGGGCGTCCTGCAATACATTTGCATACACTCATACACGTGCCAATAATGGACAAATGACAGTTTATTTGTATGTGCGAGTGTGTGCTTCAAGTTGCAGCTAAAAAGTAATACACACACACACTTGTAAAAGCAGGTGGAAACCGGCTATGAGCGCGCTGTCCTTTGTCCGACTCACAAAGCCAAAGAAAGCTATCTCCTAGTGCAGTCAGTCGTTGCTCGGGCCGTTGCAAGCATTTGCGCATGCATGTGTGAGTGGCTTGAATGCTGCATGCAGTCAGTCTGTCCATGTCAGCAAGCTGTTGCTTGTCAGCCGCCAGTGGATATTCCAAGCCATTCGAGTATTTGGCATTTGCAGGAAATTAGTAAACCAAAATGAAATGAGTGAAGGCGCCAAGAAAGGGAGAGAGAGTGAACGAGCGGACACAGTTAGAGGCGCATTTGCATACCTGTATTTCGGTATGTTTATCTTACGGAAATTTAGAATATTTTGGCAAATTGCAAAATTGCAAACGGAAATTGCCGGTTGGTATTTTTCGATATGACTTTTTTTCTTTTCTTTTGTATGTATGTGTATATGAGTGTGATACGATGTGTACTCATAGTTTTGTACGACTATTTTTCGTGTGGTTTGAAATGGGTGCGTTGTGGTTATGAAAATTAAAGTGTTGACAGTGATGAGCATAGTGACTTGATCACCTCTATAAATTAGAACTTGGTGCAAACAAGGAAAAAGCGCTAACTAGCTGTGTATCCATTCGTAGAAACTGCAATTTTTTGTCCATACGGCTGTCATTACAATTTAAATATAATTTTTTTACTTTTATCCAAGTCCACAACCTGAGCTCAATGAAGGTTAGTGAGGTCAAGAATAATTTTGTTACATATAGCGGGGCCAACAACCCAAACTGAGTTCAATGGTCATTTTCTATACATATAGCAGAGTCAACAACCCTACCTGGATCAATGATCCTGTTGTTTACAAATTGCTATATTAACTACCCGAAGCGTAGAAAAAAAATGTTTAGGGAAGTTAGCAACCCAACATGAGGTTAATGCTTATATTTAGCGAAGTCAGCAATCCAAATTGAGCTCAATGCTTCTATTTACAACCCGAACGCGTACAAGAAAAGAACAAATACAAGCTATAAGTATATCAATACTATAGTTGGGTTTTTCGATGATTTGTGGATTTTTTGCCATATGGCTGCTATTATAGATTCTGTTTTAGGAAATTTTGGGCACTAAACTATATATTTTACATCCACTTTTCCATATAATCGAACAGAACTAAGTTTTTCCCTATAACTTTATGAGAGATCGCCTCATCAGCTTAGTAAAGTCCTGCAAATTCTCCAACTTTTAAAATATTTAAATTTTTTCGCTGGACCTTTAATTTTAGTCGGACATTTGTAGCGCATATGTATGCAGGAATATTCAAGAATATGAAAGAATACGCGCGCACAAAGCCAGTGTTGCCAGAGTGGCAAAAAAAAGCGTATAAATACTGATTGGAACAAATTCGCAATGCAATTACATAAATAAATCAAAGTGCAAAACAAACTAAACAAACCAATTGAGTTATAAAAAAAACGAATACAAAGCTGCAAATAAATAAATAAATAAAGTGAATAGCGAAAAGCCACAAAATTTTCAAGTGAACGGCAAAAGCCCAAAAATAGAAACAATTTGTAAAAACAAAGCAACGAATAGTACAGTGGCGTCGCGCGTAAAAGTGGGCAAGTGCAATGGAAAGATTTTTTTAGCTTTCAAAAGCGGGCGGAAATCATACTTAGGTTGGCCTGGTAGGCCAATGAGCCACACACAGAGCTATTTTGGTTCTCTGCGATATCAGATGGAGTTCAGTTACTAGGTCCATGAGAAGTAGTCATCTTTTAGAATAGCTGCGCTTGGCCTCACTTTCGATAACTCTTCCAGTCATATCGTGGGGACACCAGCATCTATAGCATCTATTTTTTTTTTCACGTGTATAAGGAGGGTTTACTACCATATTTGCTAGTTGCTTGCTCTATCGCCTGCACTGCGTGGAGTTTCAAATATTCTGCAGCAAACAAAGTTGAAATATCGGCACTCGCACTTTACGCCCGAGCAATAATTCACACATCGGTCGCAACTCCACACCAGCCACCCGCGGCATGCAAAAAATATGCTTCAATTAGTTTTTTTTTTCTTCTCTTTTTGTCTATTTCCTTTTGGTTTTGCATTGTGGCGCAACAATATTTGCTGTGTTTTGTTATTGTTGTTGTGGCATTTTTATTTGTTTTACAATGCACAGCTTTAGTTTGAGCGCCCTGCCTTTGGCGCTGTAATGGTCGGCAGTGATGGCGGCCGAATTTGTGGGGCAATAAAGTGCATACCAACGAGCAGCAGTACTTATACAAACATACATCTACTCACACACACACATATATTATACATAGCATACATAGCTTATAGATGCATAGATGCAGGAATATGCGGAAACTACGGAGACCCTATAAGGCATGTAGTTTAAAACTTGGCGCACGTTATTTTCTCTCCAAAATTTGCTTACTTGCCGGAATCGCCGATATCGGACATTTATAGCATATAGCTGCCGTACAAACTGAATGATCGAAATGAAGTTTTTGTATGGAAAACTTTTTTATTTGACAAGATATCTTCACAAAATTCCGTATAGACCATTTTTTAAGGCAAGGCTACAAGCTCCGTAGAAATTTTTGAGATGGGATCACTATAGCATACAGCTTTCATACAAACTGAGTTATCAAAAAAAAGTTCTTGTATAGAAAACTTTTCTATTTTAAAAGATATATTTCCAATTTTTTTACATAGGTTACTTTTCAAAGCTGTAGCAAAACCACCATAGAAATTTTTTAGATCGGTCCCCTCTAACATATAGCTGCCATACAAGCTGACCTATAGAAATAAAGATTTTGTATGGAAAACTTTCTCACTTGACAAGATATCTACATAAAATTCAACATAGATCATTATTTCAAGCAACGGTATAATATCCGAACAAATTTTTCAGATCAGACCACTATATCATATAGCTGCCATACAAACTGTACGATCAAAACGAAGTTCTTGTATGAAAAACTTCTTTATTTGACAAAAAATCTTCACGAAATTTGGCAAAAATTATTGTCCAAAACAGCACTAAAATATCTGCCGAAAGTTTTTAGATCGGACCACTATATCATATAGCTGTCGTACAAACTGTGCGATCAAAGTCAAGTTCTTCTTGAAATCTTTCAATTGTGAAGCGTATTATAGCTCCGGTGCAACCGAATTTTACATTCTTTCTTGTTATTTTTTAGCTAGTACAAAAATGGCAAGGCATAACCCAGTCAATGGGCTCCATATACGCTGTAGTCACTTCGATATGCAACGATTAGTTTGCAGCATTGTTCGTGTGCACAATCGGTTTGCTTTTTCGGCGCTATGAGCGGCTATGCAAGTTGTTCTTGTTGTAATAGACCAAAAATCGGCGGAAAATAATGTATTTATTTTATTTATACTTTGTTTGTTAGCAGTTTTACAAGCGTCGTTGTGTAGCCGATAATCACGCACACATACACAAACGCAAACACAATGTGGGCGTATTTGCACTGCTTGGCTTTGTGCATCCGGTGCACTTGTGTGCTGGCATGGCTATGTGTATAACTGTGTTAATGTATGTGTGTGTTTATGTATGTTTGCCGGAACACGTTGTGGTCTGGCACTTCCTTGCAAGTGTTATGGGTTTTTGTGCGGCGGCCAATCCTTTGTGCCAGCTTTCACATTTATCTTCTATTAAAACTATTTTTCGTACAAATTTTCCGCAGATTTTTGAAATTGTTACAAAACTTCTACACCAGCAGCCATTAGCGTGTACACTTCTTCACACACACTTACTTCAATGTCCACACACACACATACACACGCACACAGAATGTCCAAACTCCGGCTTCATTGTTTATTTTACTCATTAGTTTGCTTCTTTCAACGAATTTTTTTCAGCGCGTTTTGTGGTGGCTGCCACAGTTTACCACACCACCCTTGAAATCACACTATATTTCACATTAGTTTGTCTTCCTTCATTGTTTTAATTGCTTCTTCTCTTTATTTTTGTTTATTTTTACAGGATTTACGAGTCCGCTCCTTGGTCAGTGGAGGCATGGGGACGTCCGTTGGAGAGCTTTGCATTGGCAACAACAAGACTGGCTGGCGCTGGCAATAATTCATCTTTGAACGTAAGTGTTGCAATTTATGCCCTTGTACTGGTTGAGAGCTTTGCCCGGTTTCCTTTTTCGCCTTTGATTTTATTTTATTTTTTTCTGAGCGGTGGCTAGTGCGCAAATAGATCTTTCGAAAGCGATAAATTCTGGTAAACAGCATATGCTGTGAACAAACAGAGTATAAAGGATTTAAACGGAGACCACAAAAATACAAAAATAGCAGCGCAGAATAGAACAGAAATTACTACCGCCGTAATTTTATGGGTTTCGCTTTACACTGTATGAACTGAAGGTATTTTATGCGCTAATCTATAAAGTGGATTTCAGTTCAAAACTGGATCTCTTACGCAACCATTTTCTCTGTAAACTAAAAACAAGAAAAAAACGTTGACTTTGGTCAGACAGAAGCTAGAATATCCTTCGCAAATATAGAGCAAATAAAGAACTATTCCTTCTTCGGTGATTCAACCGTTACTTCAAGCAATAATCTCAGTCAAATTTCATGAAGATACCTTCACATTTAAAATACTTTTCTATATAAGGACTTGAGCTTGATCGATAAAATTGTATGACAAGTATACGCTATATTAGTCTGATCTGAACAATTTCTCCGGAGATTGTACCATTCCTTGCGGTAATTATTCACACCCAAAATTCGTGAAAATATTATACCTTGACAAAAAAAAGAGTTCTCCTTCAAGCACTTAATTCCAATCGCTCAGTTTGACGGCAGTTTTGAGCTAAAGTGGTCTGATACGGACAAATGACTAGTTCCTTGGGGGAAAAAAGTACGTATGGAATATTTCAGAGCGATATCTCAAAAACTACGGAACTATTTCAGGTATTGCATACAAGCGGACAAGGGAAAATTGACGGAGCTTGTCACACTGATTGTAACCTAAAATGCAAAATAACGTAACATAACTTTCATAAGTTTATAGGCTAATGAAAAACGAAACCACTCATATTCAAACATAATGTGAGTTTATATAATGGTTATATAATGGTTATATATTGGTTATTACTCATATTGAATCAAAATGTGAGTTTTGGTTATAAATTGGTTATCATATATCTAATCATATTGAAACAAAATTTTAGTTTTGTTTATAAAATGGTTATGTATTGGTTATCATATAACTAATCATATTGAAACAAAATATGAGTTTTGGTTATAAAATGGTTATGTATTGGTTATTACACATATTGAATCAAAATGTGAGTTTTGGTTATAAATTGCTAATGTATTGGTTATCACTCATATTGAATCAAAATGTGAGTTTTGGTTATAAAACGGTTATGTATTGGTTATCATATACCTAATCATATTGAAACAAAATTTGAGTTTTGGTTATAAAATGGTTATGTATTTGTTATCAGTCATATTGAATCAATATTTGAGTTTTGTATATAAAATGGTTATATATTGGTTATTACTGATATTGAATCAAAATGTGAGTTTTGGTTATAAATTGGTAATATATTGGTTATCATATATCCAATCATATTGAAACAAAATTTGAGTTTTGGTTATAAAATGGTTATGTATTGGTTATTACACATATTGAATCAAAACTTTAGTTTTGTTTATAAAATGGTCACGTATTGGTGATCATATAACTAATCATATTGAATCAAAATATGAGTTTTGGTTATAAACCGGTTATTTTGGTTATAAAATGGTTATATATTAGTTATCATATACTCATATTGACACGAAATTTGAGTTTCGGTTATACCACCCTTATATATTAGTTATTTTATCTAACAGCGATTTTCGATTTTTTTTTTTTTATGATACGCCGTTCGGTGAATTATTTTTTCTCTGAAGCCTTAAGTACATTTCAAATATTTTTTAAAACACAAATATTTCCTCGCTTTTGCAGTCTTTGATGTTGTCAAGGGACTTAAGCGTTCATTGCATTTACGCCAATTTGTAACAACAGTTACTTGAGAAAAATTTTCAATTATTTTTCAGGGTCAACAGACGACGGTCTTTTGCGTGCGCTGCGGCACCACCCGTGGCGTGCTGGTCTATTGGCTGCGCTCGGAGACGCATCGCGACATGGCTGCGTGGGCGCGCGCACTGGTGCAGGGCTCACACAACGCCGTCAACTATCAGCGTGAGTTCTCATTTCGCTGCCTCTACCAAGGCAGACAGTGTCAATTGGTTGTGCATTTGAATCGCGGCTTTTGCCTATACGACTGCAGCGGGTTTTCGGCGGCGGCGGCGGCGGGTGTCGTAGTGCCGCCCAATCAGGCCAAAACTCAGTTGTGGCAATTTCCGTTCGACAAATTGAAGGGCTCAGCGGACGACGGCATACGCATGCTGTACTTGGATTTCGGCGATGACGGCGAAATTGTAAGTATTATTATAATTAAAATGCTTCCAAATTCATAAGACACTACTTTTGCTTGGCGCGTCGGCTGTGTAATTAAGCAATTATGTATATATTCACAGTGAAATTACCGTTTATCTTTCATTTGCTGCGAATTGCCGCTGGTGCTCGGTTAGTCGGTGATTCGAGTTAATTAAATTAAATAACTTTCATTTCATTTATATCTGATTTCCTGCGACTGAATTTCGCATAGCGCGCCACCAGCCGTGTCGGCCGCTTCACCTTAATAATATTTCCTTTTTTCATTTCGCGCCTTCCGTCTTTTATTGCGCAACAAAGTGAAACGCATTAAGTTTTCAATTAAAATTTCACACGCCGCGCCCAACGACCCCAGACGCCAACCGTAAGCAGCGCTGTCAACTGTCACCACCAGCAACACGGCCGACAGTCTCAATCGCGTTGTTCCCAGTCTGCTAGGTCTGCGTATCAGCACGCGCTACATATCGTTTGACCGTTGCGTCTGACATGCTGATCCGACTGCGTGTGCTCTCTGGCTCCATTGCCGGCTGGTCGTTGGCCCACCTTTGTGCACGTCAATGTCATAATCAATGAATGGCTTCTTGCTTCGACACCGCTTCGCCTCTGCAGCGCTTCGCAGACGACGGCCTTCCATCACTTAAGTCACTTCGCAAGTAGCAGCCAGAGGGCTCTTCACTTGATCGCCTTTGCTAACGTTGCAATTAATTTTAAATCGGCCTTCACTTCGTTTCGTGTCGGCGTTTCACCCCAACGGCCGTTGTGGCGCCGCACATCAATTGCAATTGCTATCTTTTTCTTCAGTCAGCGGTGTACGAGGTGTGAAGTACTTGGCAAGTGCTGCTACCGCCACATTTTGTGGCACGTTGTCAACTGTAATTAAACTAATTTTTTCACCAACACCTTATACTGCTTAACCTTCGCTTGCCTTGTACACCTTTGTGCAGCGTATTTCTGCCAACGCATACTCATGCCTTGTGCTTCATGCCTCATGTCTTGAAAGTATGTGTGTTTATTGCTTGGATTTCAATTTTGTTTTGTTTTCTTTTATTTACTTAATCTCCTACCGAATTCGGCTTAATTAAATCAAACGTTTTGTGTGTTTTGCGGCTTATTTCTGAATTTTTGACCTTGCTACTGTTTTGTTGTCATAAATGGGTCTTCGTAAGTCTTGCAAATCACTATGTTTTCAATAGTTGAGTCATGCTGTCGAAGCTATATCTTACTCTGACTCGAGCTGTTTGCCTCCTACTTGAGGCTCAAACTCCTATCTGGGCTCTATATGAGCTCATTTGAAAACTACGGCAGGCAGCGTATTAAATGAGCTCATCTAAGGCCCAGAATAGGAGTTTGACTCTCAAGGAGTAAGCAATCAGTTCGAGCCATATTAAGAGGTAGCTTCGGCGGTATGATTGCTGGATGTACCATTCAACTAGAGTGTTTTGCTTTACGGTTTGTCAAGCTTATCGTTTTTTATTATTTGAACTTTCGAAGGATCCTTTTAATCAAGAGAAGGTCGGGGTCGGTTTGCGGACCATTACGAAAATCGCAACTGCCGACGTTTGGGAGAGAGATCCATAAATATTAAACGCCGTATATGACACCGTTTCTTGTTTTAAGTCCAGTCACTTCGAGCTACCGAACTTAAGAGGTCTAAGTGTAAGTGTTCCAGAAATTGTGTGGTTAAATAAAGGGTGATCCATCTCGAGGTTCACACTTTTTTGATGAAAAAATACAGAATATTTAACATAATAATATTTTTTGGAATTTATTTTTTGAAGACTACCGCTTTAAAATGTTTGCCGCGGCTATGTCTCAGATGGTCCATCCTTCGACTCCAATTTTCGATGACTCGTTCGATCATTTCGACTGTTAATTGGCAAATGATACGCCAATGCTTCAAGGCCTGAATCGAAGCGGGATTATCCAGATAGACTTTAGACTTGACATATTCCCACAGAAAAAAAACGATGTGATGTTACACGATTTTCGCGATCAATCGATCGGCTCAAAACGTGAAATTATCTATTCACCGAAGTGTTCTCTCAATAGATCCATTGATTGGCGCGACGTGTAGAAAGTGGCGTCGCCTTGTTGAAACGAAATACCACCGAGGTCACGAGTTTCAATTTCAGGTATCAAATAGTTGGCTATCATGGCGCGATAACGGTCGCCATTGACGGTTACGATCTCACAGGCATTTTTGTTACGGTTTTCGAGCTAAAGTGTACTCCATTTATGATTCCCTTGCGGCTGAACGTTCCAAAACTCCCGAGAACCTTTTCTGACTATCAAATAACTGGAAAAGTTTTTTTCAGATTTCTTTTCTTTTTTTTTTAATTTTCAGCCAGAACTTCAAAGATAAAACAATAAGAAAATTAGAAAAGAATTTATACGGTATTTTCAAAATTCTGACTATTCTTAACATTTTATTCTTCATTACTTGCACAACTAAACGCTGAAACATTTCTGAAATTACTTCTTACAGGAACTAGATATGGAATGCTGTCCCAAGCCGGTGGTCTTCGTGGTGCACAATTGCCTGTCGGCGAAAGTACACTCCATCACCTAAGAGGAGCCAGCGCCAGCTGACGCGCAGCGGGCAGCTTGATCAGCGTCTGACGTAGCACAAACAAAATTACTTTGAGAAGCGTAAGAAGGAGGCCCCCACAAATGGGCGAGCAGCAGTAACGTAGTAAAAATTTTTGTAATTTCATACCAAACGCCGTTGAGTGAATGCAGTTGAAAGAGAAAAACAAGTAAACGTTTATATACACTGTGCAACATGTTGCGCGTTTATAATAATGCAATATATCAAATTTACTTAGTACTTAATCATAAAGTAATTATAACATAATTATACTTAATACAATTGTGGTAAGCATAAGTAGATTTGTATAGCAACGTATGTTAAACAGTTGAACGTCAGCTGGACAGCTTTTGAGCGCGTGTGTGCTTCCTTATTTTGTATAAGGTGCAAAACTAGTCTTCAGTCGCGTAATTCAAATAATACACATTATGCATAAATTTAACAATCCGTACCGTTATACATTAGTATATACTATGTATAACATTTAAATGTAAACACACACACTTGCAACACAATATTTCCGAATATTTGCAGGTTTGCTACTTTTCACACCGAAATTCATACTTCTCAGCCTAAATAGGGTTGCAATTTTTTTGGTGTTTAGCGAAATTAAAGCGCACAAACTCGTGTGTAAGTGTTTAAAGTTTAGTTTTAAAATAGTAGAAAGTAAGCTCGAAAAAACTGTCTGTATGTTTGTAAAAAAGAATTTCAAATGGCATGTATAAAAATAATCCTTTTTCAAATTTGCATAATTAAATTGCACATTCGACTAATATTTAATTAACAAATACAAACAGGCCAAAGCCAAACGAGTGCACATGTTACAAACACATACATATATATACATATAAAATATATGTATGTACATATGTATGTATGTATGTATGTACATACATATATTAGGGTGGTTAAAAAAATCTTACTTTTTCCACTTGTTACTTTGAAGTATATGTACTTTGAAACCTCTAACATAGATATACATTAAAAAAATATGTTCAAATATTAGGGTGGGTCAAAAAAAAATCGGATTTTTTTTCTGCTTGGTACTTTGAAGGTTAGGTTTTTAGACACCTCTAACACATCCTAATATATAAAAAAAAAATAATTCGTTTTTGACCCACCCTAATGTACATATATATTCTTACATATACATACACAACACAAACATAGTTTGAAACAGAGGGAATGAGATGTGCAAATGCAAACTAACAATGTAATATTTGTTTATTTGCATGTTTGTACATATTTGCAATAAAATACCGAACAAAAGAACCGAGGATAATAATTAAATTTAACAGAAAAATAAAAAAGTATCACATTTACATTTACTACTGCATACAATTTACGAAAAACTATAATATAAATAATATTACAAAATAGGCAACAACAATTACCGTTAGATAAAATCCAGCAACATATCTCGATCAGCTGCAATCAGCAACTGCATACATAGAGACTTAATAATATTAATTAACAAAATTAAATTTAATTAATAAAAGTGTTAACAACAAAAGCGGAAATCAAATGAAAATAACGCTAAACAGCAGTTAAGCGGACAAACGGCGCCATAGCTGATTTGGAACACATTTTTCTCTAATTGTAAGTTTCTCTATACACACTTGACTTGTACTAATATGTATGTGCATATGTATTAAAGATGATCCAAAAAAAACTAACGTTTGCCACTTAAATAGCAACTAATTAAATTGACAAAAAAAAATTATAAAAATTTACAAAAAA